TGGTTTTTTGGGCTTCCTTCTTTTCGCTGGGCTGGATGTGTCAATTTTTGGCCCAAACAGCATGTTATGGATCTTACACACAATCTATAATACGTATAAAGATGTGATGACGTACCTAGAGCCATCTTCCTTGAATACACAGCTTCTGAATTCATCCTATGCGTAGCAACAATAATCCCAGCAACAACGAGAACGGCTCAAGACTTCTGCTCTCTCTCAGAAACTGTTTCAGCTCTCTCTTTATGATGAGAATAGGTTTAGAGAACGTGTCTGACGAGAGTAGGGTCTTTAGCTTATATATGGCTAGGTCAAGTCGTCTCTACTCATCACCGAGGGCCGACTTGACTTATTTTTCAAGCCCACTTAATTGGTTCACGCAAAAAACAAACAAAATAGAACTCCTTAATTAGGCTCCAAAACCCTTCCTTATTCCACAAGGCTTTGGGCCTCAAGGCATAACTTAATTAAACTCTTATTAAACCTGATATGACTTAGTATCTACTACACCGATCTAAATAGGAAAACATAACAAATAGAGCATAAAAAAAATAGACTAAATGATGTAACTGCATAAAAGATGATAGCCACAACAACATTACATTATCAACACAAATGCAACGGTATACTATTGTTAGTCATCCTAGTTTCACTAGGAAGAACTAAAAGAAGCAATCGCATCCATCTCCTCCTGCAAAAGAAGCGCATCGATAAATACATCCAGATTCTCTCCTTGCATCACATCATTTATTGAATGATGAGTGATGCCAACACGATGATCAGTTACACGCCCTTGAGGAAAGTTGTATGTACGGATGCGTTCGGATCTATCCCCACTACCAATCTGTTCAAGGTGATGAAAGTCCATATCAATCCTGAAAACAGAGCAACCAATTGTATCAACTAAAATTTACCAAGTAATAGTCATACCTGTTGTGATCTAAGTTTTGACCGACTGCTCTGGATTCTAGACCTCTCTATCTCATAAAGCTTTGCACACAGCACCTTAAGCCCCTTGGCCTTGTTCTACAAAGGAACCCAAAAATTGGAAAAGAGAAAGGTGAAGAAAAGGAAGAGAACAAGACAAGAACAAGAACCAAAAGGAATACCAAAAAAGAGAAAAAAGAAAAAGAAAAGATAACTAGAGTGGTCTACAATCATACACTTTATATCAGAGATATTTAGAAATAATACGAAGAATGCTAGGGTGATTTTCATAACCACTAAATCATACATAATACAACTAAAAACTTTGCCCTTGCCTACTTTGACCAGTAAAAACTTCTCACATCCTACAAGCACGAGTGATTCAAATTAGGCTAAGATTTGGGAGAACAAGTCGTAAAGATTTGAAGTTTAAGACTAAGTTGACTTTGAGTTGAGAAGACAAGGACAAGAGAATGGCATACGAATCAGTGAATTATCCTAATTTAAAATAAAAATAAAATATGACCAACAGTATTTACAACACAGTGCCATTGCCAGTTAAAAGCACGATGCAGAATCGGTTCATATACATTAATACATAGATCAGGAAAATGGACCTTCTGTTGTTTTTCTTTATCAGGAAAATTATCAACTCCAAATAACAAAAGAAAAAGGTAAAGTTCTGATCCTAAGCTCGATGATGCGAAAATTGCAATTTAGTTTCGCAAAAATAGGCATTATATACCATATGTTGGGATCGCTCATCTTGTATGGCTACAGTCAGGCCAGTTGGAATATGAGTTATTCTAACAGCACTGTTGGTGGTATTTGCATGCTGACCACCTGAACCACCAGATCTATAAGTATCAATTCTCAAATCCTCGTTCCTCAGGTGGACATCTACCTGCAGCAGGCCCAAATAAACATGGTCAAAGAAAAAAAATAAGAGACCACAACTGACAAAAGAACAAAAAATAACCACAAAGTTTTGTACGAATTCAAACATAACAGAGTGAATAAAAGGAACTTCTGTCTGTTAGGCTTAGATCCATTTTTATAAAGCATAAAATCACAGAATGCGAATTAAATTCAGAATCAACAGGTTAGCACCTCATCAGCTTGAGGGAGGATAGCAACAGAAACAGCACTAGTGTGAATACGTCCAGACTTCTCTGTCACAGGAACTCGCTGCAAAAATGAAAGTCAGCAATTTGTGAGGGCAACTATAAGTAATGTGTTGAACAGGCAGGAAGGAAACCTGAACTCTGTGAATCCCACTCTCAAATTTCAGTTTCCCATAAACATCAGCTCCTGAGATTGCTGCACTAGCTTCCTGAAAAGAAGTTATAATCAAAACATGTTATCACATACTAGGCACTGGCACTTAGCAGGTGGTGAATCCTGTAATACATTATCTGTTAAAAGGACCAGGCTTATTGGGTCCGTTAAAATGTGCGTGTTAGATTGAAAAGAGGAAGGAAATCACACACCAGACCTTATATCCTTTAAGATCAGACTCGGTAATATCCACCACTTCAAACTTCCAGCCTTTCTTGTGCGAGAATCTATCATACCTATGGCAATTTGTTATCCACACAAGGTAAGACTCTCGGAAGAAAACACATACGAGAATTTACAAGTACTGATGCTAACTCACATTTTGAATATGTCCATTGCAAATAAAGAAGCCTCCTCCCCTCCAGTTCCTAAGGAAATCTTTTGTCAAACAAAAGAAACAGAAGACACATGCAATGGAATGAAAAATATTGTTGGTATGCGCATCTATAGGTGTTTCTGGGAGAGGGCGGACGCTCAATACCTGCTCTAACCTCCAGTATGCAATCCCTCTCATCAGCATCATCCTTAGGAAGCAGGGACTTAAGTAACGAAGCATGCAATCTTCTTTCTTCGTCAATGGCCTGACCCAATTCATTGTTTGCCATATCAATCATGTCTTTATCTTGAGAACATTCATCCATGAGAGACCTCAAACCATCAATCTCCTGCAGAGCAGCAAACACATGATTCATTTTGCTCTGTACTTTCTAGGTACAACGGTAACAGTTTCAATTGAAGTTTTTGTTCTAATTTCAGTACCTTTCTGTTGGATCTTAATTGATTTATAAGGTCCAAGGAAGCGCTGAGTTTCCGAAGCTCCTTGTTAGCCCTCACATACTCTTCAGCCGAGGCATCAGGCTGTCTTCAACCAAAAGGTCCAACACCATTTCAATTCCAAATTTTTTGTTTTTCCAAAAACCATATCAAATTCCAACATAATTTTCATTCCTATAACAATTACCAAGCAAGCACATAGAATCACAAACATAGAGAACCTGGTTTATGAGATTTTGAAGACAAGCACTCCTCTGCTCGATAAGCGACAGCCTCTGCTCCATGATCTTTACGAGCTTTGGGGACAGTTGAGGCTCCAATTCTGCTCCTTTTCATATGCATAAAGTAAAATTAAACTAAATAAATAAAACCCAAATGCATGAAGAAGAAGAAGAAAACAACATACGAACCCGTTGAGTAAGAACGAAGAATTCGAAGAGGGCAGGAAAAGGCTGCCATTGCTGGTCGAATCAAACTACGCCAAGTCTCACTTCTCATTCTTACACTCTCAGAAGCCAAATCCCTTTCGTAATGCAAGCCCAAATTTACAGAAATTCAAGCGTGAGCTTTTTTATAAATAAGCAAAAAACAAAAAGAAAAAGCTTCAGAGTAGACTGAAACAAAAAGCTTGAAATGCAAGTTTACAAGAAATTAGAAAATTTCCATTAAAGTAAACAAAGAAAAATTACAAGGTTAAAATTCTAGAGAAGCAGTACCTTTTGGTCCTCTGGTAGTTGAGACTTGAGAGCAAATCAAGAAAATTGAAGGAAGAAGAAGCAGCAAAGCGAGAGCAAGGGCTTGAAAATATGCGGGTGTTTTAATAGCCGTCCGATGAAATCACACGGTTAAGTTTCAACCGGGTTAAAATTACCCATTTACAAAAACCAGAACCCGAGAGCTCTCTCTCTCATTCTCTTTTCGATGTATCACAAAACAAAAACCAGTTAGAATTATTTGAGAAATCTTCAGAGGAGAGGGAAAAGAAGAAAATTCGAGCTTTGAACAGCTTCTTCTCTTCTTCATCTCCAACTACAATGGTAAGTCAAACACTCCAAACCCACTTCTCTTCGTTTCTCTGTTTCACTGATTTTGCTTTTAAAGTTTTCCATGTTTTTTTTCTCTGAACAGGTGCGGCAGCCAAAATCTGAGGTACCCTTTTCTTTGTTTAGATTATTTTTTCAGCCAAAACTGCTTGTAGTGTATAATATCAAAATCTACTGGCTGATTTCTGCTTTCTTTTTTCCGTAATCCATAAAATGTGGGTAAATTCCAAACTTAGATTCCCTTTCAAAGAACTCTGCCTATGCTACATGTACTTTTTATTTTACATATTCAGTTTGCTGTTCTGTTTTCTTTTCCCTGTGTGCAAATACATTAGTTTGATGTATGTAGTGAGGCTTTACCAGACATGAATTACAGTGTCTTCGTAAAGTTTAATTGAAAAACTGGCTGTAATATTTAGTTAAGTTTGTGATTTTTGATGATGCATATTTGAGAACAAGAAAAATATGTAGTAATGTTTGAAATGATTATTTTCATAGTTTAGAATTATAGTCCTGTCCTGAATTGTTCCAAACATAGGATACCATCCAGCCCCTTAGTCCTGTGCCCGTTCAAACATAGGACAGAACTTAGTCCAAGCCAAGCCTATCCTAGATGTATGACTAAAACCAGTTTTGTCATACCTAGTTGGCTATTGATTGTAGTCATTGTGATATGAATACCTGGCTGGCTTTGGTTTTAGATTATTTTCTCACGTGTGTTACTTTGTGCCTTTTGATTCAGTCAGTTTCTATTTGCAGATATTATTACTAGTTGGGCATGTGGGCATAAGGAGATCATGCTGGATCCTCAAAGAATTGTCTTAGCAAATATTGGTTACTGTTTATGGCTTACATAAGTGAATATGCAATTGGTGCATCACCTAGGCCAAAGTTTAGCAGTGGTTTGTCACGGTGATTATCCTTTCTCGGTGTTTTTTTCATTGTTATAATGAAATATTTATGGCACTAATAGTGACAAAAGAGTTTCTAATGCTTAACCACTTCATCAAGAGGTGTCCTTTGTGTTTTTGTGTGGCTTCAGCTATTCGGAGGACTATCTTCATATCAAATTATGACAGAGAATCAGTTCTGACTAGAAAATTTGAAAAGCCTGTGGTTTCAAGTGTAAGATATGAACAGCATCAAATTTCATCTACCCGAGATTTTTGTGCTAGCGTTCAGCCTGAAGGGCTATGCTGGGAAGGTTCCTCTCATGCAATTATGTTGAAAAGTCTCAAAAAAGCCTTGAAGGAACACCAAGTTAATGAAGCATGGGAGTCCTTTATTGATTTTAAAAGGTTGCATGGCTTTCCTGAGGATTTTGTTATCCGTAAGCTAATCACTGAACTGTGCTATTCGTCTGACCCTCACTGGCTACTAAAAGCATGCGATATAGTCTTGGTTATTTTGAAAGAGCGATCAGACTTACTACAGTCTGATATCCTGGCAAAGCTCTCCCTCTCCTTAGCGCGAAGTGAAATGCCTAAACCTGCTACAATGATTCTTAGAATACTACTGGAGAAAGAGAACTTGCCCCCCATGAATGTATTGTGCTTGGTTGTTCTGCATATGGTAAAGACTGAGGTTGGGACACACCTTGCATCCAATTTCTTAGTTCAGATTTGTCATTGTTTCCAACGCTCCAGTGTAAACAAGAGCATCCATGCAAAGCTGGTGAAGCCTAATACAATGATTTTTAACCTTGTCCTTGATGCTTGTGTGAGGTTTAAATTATCATTCAAAGGCCAACAAATTATGGAATTGATGCCTCAAACAGGAGTTGTTGCTGATGCACACTCTATTATCATTATTGCCCAGATCCATGAGCTGAATGGCCAGAGAGACGAGATCCAGAAATATAAAAGTCACATTGATCAAGTTTCAGCTCCGTTTATGCAACATTATCGGCATTTCTATGATAGTTTGTTGAGCTTACATTTCAAGTTTAATGACATTGAGGCGGCCATTGAGCTTGTTTTACAAATGTGTAACTACCATGAGTCTCTTCCTATTCAAAGAGACAGAAAGATTTCACAGAGGTCTTATCTTGTTCCAATTGGATCTCATAATCTCAAGTCTGGGTTGAATATGCAGATTTTGCCTGAGCTGCTGCTGTGCGATTCTGTCCTCAAAATAGAGGGTAAGCAAGAGCTTGTTCTTTATTGGAATGGGAAACTTGCCCTTAGTAACAGGGCTCTAGCCAAGCTCATAAATGGATACAGAAGGGGCAGGGATACTTGCAAGCTTTCAGAAATTTTACTTAAAATGCAAAAGGAGTTATGTTCATTAAGAGGATCTCGTTTGTGTTCTGATGTGATTGATGCTTGCATTAATTTAGGTTGGCTAGAAACTGCTCATGACCTTTTGGATGACATGGATGCAGCTGGGGCTCCCATGGGCCTTACTGCTTTTATGTCACTCTTGGAAGCCTATTACAGAGGAAAGATGTTTCGGGAAGCAAAAGCTTTGCTTAAACAAATGAGGAAGGCTGGTTTTCTTTCAAGTATACCTGATGAGATGATTGTCTCAAAATGTCAACCAATACTAGATACAAGTTCCACATGTACAAATGTTTCAAGCGCGACCAGTAAATCAGATCTGGCAAATGCTTTGGTTCAGGAAATGAGAGATGAGAAGGATGCTTCTGTGGTTTACCAGTTCAATTCTTCCATCAACTTTTTCTGCAAGGCCAAAATGATGGATGATGCTTTGAAGACATACAGAAGAATGCAAGAGATGAAAATTCAACCCACTGAGCAAACATTTACCTATCTGTTATATGGGTATTCTTCTCTGGGAATGATTCGTACTATCACGATCTTGTGGGGGGACATTAAGAGGAATATGGAGAGTGGAAATTTGGTGGTAAGCAGAGATCTCTATGAGTACTTGCTACTGAACTTTCTTCGTGGTGGCTACTTTGAGAGAGTGATGGAGGTCATTGACTTTATGAAGGAGCATGGCATGTACACTGACAAGTGGTTGTACAGGAGTGAGTTTGTAAAACTTCATAAGAATCTATATAGGAATTTAAAGGCATCAGAAGCCAGAACTGAGGCTCAAAGAAAAAGACTTAAATATGTTGAGAAATTTAGAAAATGGGCGGGAGTTGATTGAAGTTCCAAGAGAAGTTCAATATGAACTGGGATGATTTACTGCAAGATTCTTGCTGCTCTGACGTTGATGATTTTAAGGGCAATGTTAAAGTAAATAGAGGAGAGTTAAGAAGTGAATATGGAAGATGCATTGTGGTGGTGAAACCAAACTCTTACTCCATTTGTAATGTCTGAATGAAGTCTTATGATAATGGAAAGAGTTATTCTGGAGGTTAATTGATCTATGAGGAGATATGTGAAGACAATTGTTTTTCTATTGGCATCACAACAATTTTGCTAACGCTTTTAGGTTATGTTTTCCAATTGCTGTTCTGCAACTACTTCACAATATCAGTACCCAGTGAGTTAGTGAGGATCAAAAGTTTGGAGGTGGTTTCACATTGTTGTTCAATTACAATTGAAATAGTATCCGTTTCTTTTTCATGCTGACAAATTACCCATCTTTCTTGGTATTGTCCAGCAATGCATACAGTGTTAATCATATGTTATTTGTTTTGATGGCAGAAATTTCTTTCACAGTTAACTAGGTGACGTATATTTTTTGATTGATAACCTGATGAGCTAGAAAGCTTCAAATAGTTTATGTCTATGTTGCCCAAACTCATAGATATGGAGTGAGCAGTTCTTCTATCTGTCTGAGGTTGTATCATGGAGCTAAGATTATTCTCTGAGTTGGTATGGTTAAATAATGAAAAAACTAAGCACGCCAGTGGACAGGCCCTCAATATGTTGATGAATTGGTGGTAATCTCAATCCAAGGTTACCGGAAACATTACTTCATGTATATTTATTTATTGACTGTATTAATGATTGCGGATATTAGAGAACTTTTTTTCAACGTTAACTTAGTTTGGTGGAGCTGAATATTATGCTGGAATGAGTTGAGGCTCATCATCCGATGATTGGGAAGAAAATATACAGGTGGGGACCCAGAACTGACACCAATCCATAAAGCTTGTTTTCCTGCTGCTGCTCATCAAGGGAAGGTTGGTTAAGGTTGTTGTGTATGGTTTTGGACAGGTTCGGTTTGATGGTTATTATAATTGTTTCATATGACAGGACATTGTTGGTGATGTGGAAACAGGGGCTGGGAAGAAACTAGCCTTTGGTTTGCCCATTTTGCAATTCTTGTTGGAGGGAGGAGAAAACACTATGTAGATGCTTGAAGAAAAGGGGAAGGTAGAAGAAAACGTTTGCTCCAAAAGGAATTTTATAGGCACTTATTATTACTCCCACAAGAGAGCTTTCACTTCAGGTAATATAATTGCATTCCAAGTTGCTTCTCTTCGTGTGATTATTAGTTGGATGTGTGCTGCTGGTGGTTGTCTAGTTTGAGTTAAGGGGTTGGTAAGAAGTAAACCAAAGATAGATGGAAAACAACAGTTTGCCTTTTTCGAAAATCTTATTAATTAATGCCTTTGGTTTTAATCTCTAACCCTCAAAAAGTATGAAAGCTCTGTTTTTGTAATCGGAAGTCAAGTACTTTCCTTAATAGTGGACAAATCATTTGAAAGAGGACTTATAAAATCGGGTGCACTTTTCAAAAAAATTATGATATGTTTACTTAGAATCAAAATGAGTAGGAATCAGAATAAAAGGGAATGGCAATGGGAAGTAATCAAAACAAGGCATTTCAACTAATCTGAATGAGGGATTGCTTGAGAATGATTCCCATTCCATGTAAGCAAGCATAAAATTACAAACATTATTTTAATCAGACTCAAACTCTATTGTTTGTTTGAAACTTAGAATTAGGGTCTGACTTAATGATTAATTCTATAACATAGAAAGAGGTTGGTTTTCTTGTACAGTGATTTTCAGTTATTGTTTTCATTTTCATTTTATGACTTAGATGAGGGGATTTTGAGGAGTGTCGACCATCTTTTGCAAACAAGTTTAAACCAAATAGTTGATCTAAGTGGATTAATGCTTCCGTATTATAGATGATGGGAATAAATGAAGTGATTTCCAATGTATTGAATTCATTTCAGAGGAATATAATTGAGTTATTATTAACTTACTAATGTATAAAAAGAATGATATTTATTTACAGACTCTTAGTGGCAATATTAATAGAAGGCATACAACAAAAAGAATATTAATGCACCTATAATCACTAGAATTATTTGTCTGGACTATGTACATGTATTTCATGCCTAATCTCATCTTCAGTATTACAAACAATTGTTTGGTTGAACAGTGCCAACAATCTTTCCATTTGCATTGGCACAATGTGACTGAACCTCTTGATTCCTGCAGGTCAAACTCACGTTTTCGAGTCTTATCCCACTACATGGATTTGTTGCGCTACAATCAAATTTTATTGCGATGGCCGTAGCCGATGTTCCTTGAATGTTCTGATACACGACATCACTGACTTTCACACCTGATACCTATATAATATTGAAACAAAATGAAATGTGCATTAGACATTTAGTCAAGACATACGTTTATGAATGAGTACATGCTCAATTAATACATTGTTATTATAATTTTCATTACCTGAGCAGGGCAGTTGATGTTGTGTGGGCAATAGTTTTGGTTTATTACAATAGGATTTTGGACATTAAACATGACGACATCAAGGAATTGAACACCTTGAACAAATCCGTTGCTCAGCCTTGCCCAAGACTTAATCCTCAAACCATTTTGAGTACCCTTGAAAATTGCATTTTTAACTGTCACATTTTGGACCCCTTCCTCTTCCAAGTCTTTGGCTAAACTCCCTATGCTGCAATCACCACACCCATGTATGTATAAGCTAACTATAATATTAACTGTTAAGAGGTTTTCATATGGAAGCAATGCAATATTCCTAAGAGCTATAAAATCTGACCTAATGCCATGGCCAGGACCACAAGTTATTTGCTCGATCCACAAGTCCTTTGTTCCGGGGCCAATCGAGACACAATCATCTCCAGTTTTGATAGAGGTATTGAAGATTGCAACATTTCTTGACAATTGGACATGGATACCATCAGTGTTTGGGCTATTTCCAGCTGCATTGACTTTGACCCCTTTGATGCGAACATCTTGGCAGCCGTTTATCACAATGTGGAACATCTGGCTGTTCAATGACATTAGTCCATTGATGTTAATGTTTTTGGAGTTCGTAAAACTCAGACTCTGCGTATCAGTGGGAACAAAAATATCAGAATTTAGGAAACAATAGAACATGAAGAGACTGGTAGGGTAAGGTAGACAACAAATTTAAACAAGATTTCACTTGATCGACAAGAAAGCATAAATTACTAACCGTTGCTCCTCCGTTGGGGCAATCAGTGCTTCCAGCTAACTTGCATGCCCACAAGGAGGTACCTTTAGCGTCAAGGGCACCTCCAATAATGGACACACCGGTAACTCCTTCGAAGCTTAGCCAGTTGTTAGCTTGGCCAAGGACTCGGTAATCAGACGAAGCTATCAATGTTCCATCAATTCGAAAAGTAATATCTGTGCTTTTGCAGTTATCACCTTTGAAAACCATAGCATTGGGAAGCAAATACCTCCCTTTTGGTACACGTATGGTAGTGGAATCAGAGGAGGCACATGCTGCAGTCCATACATCCAGAAAAGCTTGTGTAGAATCTATTACACCGTTAGGCTTGGCTCCAAAGCTTAGGACATTGAAAATTAATGTACTCTTAGCAACACATGATTGGTGTAGGATATATAGGATGAGTAGTGCTACTCTGCTAAAACAACTTGTTGTAACCTCAGCCATTTTCTCCTGTTCTATTTTTCCTTTCTGTTTGTGAGAGAGAGAGAGAGAGAGAGAGAGAGAGAGAGAGATTAAATTAAACAGATGACGTCGATGGTAACGAATGAAGTTGGGAACTGAGAGGTTGATGGAGATAGGGTACTTATACTCTTGATGATACATGCATGCAGTAAGTAATTAGCATAAGGGATGTTTGTATATGATATTATATATACAGAGAGAGGTGGTGTAGGTTTAAAGAAAATATAGTTATGGATGTATTAAGAAAGCTGCGCCGGCACCAATTTGGTGGCTACTCTTTTGTGTTTTACTGTATATATAAGTAATATGGATGAATAATGAATCATATAATATTATATGAATCGATGATAATTTAATTAAAATATTAGTTTGGATATGATTACTTTTGCCGTTGACTTGTTAATGAATCAATTCATCCCAAGTGGGACACACTTCCTGTACTCAAATCCCTTCATGGCTACTCATTGCTCTCAGTGGAGTGACGAGCAGGATAATTTGTAATTTCAGTATTCTAGAGGTAGTAGATAGATATTTGCTAACGAAAATTTTGAAATCACTACTGGTACTGGGTTGTCCTAATGATGGCATTGGCTTATTGTAAAGTCCCACATTGGAAAAATATGCAATAAAACCAGTGCTTATAAGGACTTACATGACATCTTGCAATTACCGAGCCTAGTAACGTGGGCTTGTAACTAAATAGGGCATTAAAGTGGTTGGTTATTTGAGAAAGCCTTGTTAGATGAGGTGTGGTAGTCTTGGACTCTTCACTTTTATGAAGTCGCACACAAGGCACGCCCCTTACCCTCGGGTTAGTAGGGCCGCCCATCCTCAATGGGTGGGTAGCAAACCTCAACTTGATATTAGATTGGGGTGTTAATACTACACCTCACGGGTCAAGAGCCATCACACCCCAGCGTGCTGCCTAGCTTGGCCTCTCATCACACAATCACTTTTTTGAGAAATTGGAATAATGCTGCCAAATCATCCTTCTTATTTATTGTTATTTTCTAGCAATATGTAGACTATGTACAGTATTAATTAATTATATATTCCTATATATTTGGTTTCATGGCAGAAATTTGTTTCACAATTTTTGGTGCAACATAGTTGTTTATAATCTAATGAGCTAAAAATTCAGATAGCTTGCTTGTTGATATTAAAAAAATTATTTATAATAAGTATTTTGCTTCTAAGCTTGAATTAGGGATAATATTATTGAATGTTAACGTTATTTGCTATTCATTGAAAAAAAATGTTATTTTTCGTGTTGGGTGTTACTAGAAAAATATAGATGAGAAAAGACCGGGGGAATAAACATTTAAGCTTTTAATGACATTCGAAATGGATCTGAAATAACTATATCCAAAGAATAATTTTAAATTCATTTGTTTTCTTTATTTCTTTATAGTACTAATCATGTCATTGAAGTCCAGACAAACATGAATGGGTGGTCCCATTTGGTTCGGGAATTAGGGCCACTGTTACCATGCTCGTTCTTTCTATATAATGTTCTATTTTGGTTGAATGCATTACTATTTTCTAAAGAATTAAAAAAACCAAATTAAAAAAACCATATTCATTACACCTTTTTATTTATTTAAGAATTGACGATACATTTCATTTATAAATCAAGCGCAAGCCTTCTAGCCATTTTATGTACATGCTTTTTTTATATTTTTGGGTTTCAAAGGAAGGAAATATATTTTGACCGCCAAAAAAAAAAAAGCAAGAAGGAAAGACATAATTAGGCTCCATTTGGATTGATTGATATGAAAAAAATATTTGGATTTTACAACAATTTGCAACAAGAACAAGAACCCCATCAGATTGAATGTATATGAACTAACTAGATGATCGTTATGAGAACACATATTTC